CCCACATAAATGTCTGCGTATATGTCTATACGTTATATGGTAGTCTACCGCCCGACTAGTTTATAGCGTATTTTATAAAGATTTGCCAAGGATCGATGTGACGGAAATAAGTAGGTTAAGTGGAGAAGAAGATAGAAAGTTTGGGCCAATTTTGGGCCAAGATCTAAATTGTGATTTGTACCGATTGTAGTCAAGGGATAACATTTGATAGTAATTAAACCGGTTTGACTCTATTAGCCGTAATAAACCGATATTCCGATATTTAAACCGATTTCTAAAAACGCTCTTGGAGAAAATTAAAATCGTCTTCGTTCTTCGGATCTGAATCATTTTGGTCGGAAATTGAAGGAAGAAGAATCATGGGTTGGATCGGAGAAACAGTAGATTCCATCAAATCTATCAAGATCCGTCAGGTTCTCACTCAAGCCGTCACGCTCGGTTCGTTTTCGATATCACTGATTTTAACCTCATTTTGTGTTTAAGATTCTCGATCACCCCCCAGAAAAACGAGAAATTGGGTCTCTAGATTTCACCAATATAGTGTTATAGAAGTATGATCATCGAATTGGGTCCCACAGCAAACGATTTTGATGGTAAATTATGACAAAAATCGTTGGATGTGTTTTGGTTTAGGTATGATCGTTACGTCTGCATTGATAATATGGAAAGCGTTGATGTGTGTGACTGGAACTGAATCACCAGTGGTGGTTGTTCTCTCTGGAAGCATGGAACCTGGCTTTAAGAGAGTAAGTCACATCACGTTTGGCTTTTACTTGTTTCATTTTAGCTTATGTTGGTCTTGCTCCTGCCATTCCAATGAATGAGTCAGTAATCACTAATCAGTTTTGAGGCCAATGTGGACAGGGGGATATATTGTTCTTGCACATGACCGAGGAGCCTATTCGAGCAGGCGAGATTGTTGTTTTCAATGTTGATGTAAGTGCCGCTTTGGCTGCGTGTGTGTCTCTCTCTTGTTGTGTTCCATTAAACCACTATCTTCCTTCCAATTGCTCTTCACCTAATTTTTTTTATTGCCTTGATGCTTCTTCTTTCAGGGTCGTGATATTCCCATCGTCCATCGAGCCATCAAAGTAATGTTTCTCATTTTTTTTATCTCTGAGGATTAATCAATTGATTGTTCAGGATAGTTGAGATAAGAAAAACTTGATGTCTTACTCGTTTTTTGTCATTTTAACACATTATAGGTTCATGAGAGGGGAAATACTGGAGAAGTTGATGTTCTAACAAAAGGTGCTAGTTTGGTTTGTCTATATGTTAAACCTTTATAGTAACTGTGTGTTTATGGATTACTTGACACATCTTTGCATTACTTGACAAACCTTTATAGTAACTGTGTGTGTTTATGGATTACTTGACAAATCTTTGCATTTTTCAGGTGACAACAACGATGTGGATGACATCGGTCTCTATGCTGATGGACAGATTTGGCTTCATCGGCAACATATTATGGGCAGAGCTGTTGGGTAAATACATTAATTCAACAACCTTTCATTGAAAATGCTACAAAAATCATCAATGGTCGTAAAATTGTTCCC